GGTGGGCAGGCAATGAGATTTGGTGTGATCACCCAGCAGATCTGCCAAGAGAGGAGCCTGGATCCCTGCCATTCACCATGGCATGCTCCCCATGCGATGCTCCCTTCTGCCTCAACTCTGGGGCATGAACATATGTGCTGCTGGCAGTCAGCAGCCAGATAGAGCCTCTGCTTTCATTGAACCCTGCTAATTAATTTGCAGCATTGATTGTTTTTTACAATATATCTGTCCCTCATTTAACATTTGGGTACTACAGCTGAAAACAAATAAATCCAAAATTGTACAAGCTGCTGATATTGGTGGCATAACATGAAAGTCCTGTTAGAAACAACTGAGTTGCCTTTATGGTCCACAAAGGACATTTTGATCCGCTATAACTAAAGCCTTTTACATCCCAGACCATAAAGATTTGAGCATTGCAACAGAGCCAGGAACCCCAGATATTTGTCCCTTGTCAGGAAATTAGGTTTCAAGGGAAGAGTTTTCTTTCTTTCTTTCTTTCTTTTTTTTTTTTTTAAATTGTGAACATTTCTAAAGGGTCAGTAAACAGCCCTCTCCCCCCTCCCTCCCCCATAGCTGGGAGTGCTGTCCCCTTTCAAACTAGAAAGGGAAACTGCAGAGATAACAGCAATGATGTGAATTCTCAGGATATGAAGCCTTGAAGGACTTCTCTCATCTAGTTCCTCCTCGTCCCTTTCATGGCCTGTAGGCTCCTGAGTTTAGTTCTTACCCAGAGGCCAAAATGGATAGATTTAGCAAATAAATCCCAAGCCTTACAGCTGTGAAGATAGTAGTGCCAGGAGGGAACAAGCTCTGAGCCCGTGATGTGGCACACACTGCTGTGAGAAAGCTGAGTGCATCAGGAGTCACCGGATAACTCATGGGAACAGGAAAATAGCACGCTCTAGTGGGGAAATTATTAAAGTCTATTAGAAAAATCTACTAGGAAACAAATCACTGCACTCCGTGTGAAAGCAGCCGTTACTTCCTATCTCTATCCAGTGTTTCTTCTCCTTTCACTGTGCATCTCACATCACTTGTTGACCCTGATACCCACTAGCCCAGGCAGGAGGGCAGTCCTCCCAAGGCTCTCCCACCTACTGTCACGGAGCTTGGGCTGATTTCTTTTCAGGCACTAGAATTGTGTCCACTCCCTCTGGCTTACTGAGTGCACTTGGCACAGGGCACGTTTTCCCGTGCCAGTGTGGCAGGGCCAATTCCCAGGGTGTGCGAGGGCAGTTGGGTCAGTGACAGGTGATGGCGAGATGCCCCATTATCACGGTAATTAGCGGGCTCCTTCCCTCTCCCTTTCACTGTCACCCAGTGGAAAACTCCGTCTCCATTAAGAAGGAGAACTCATTACTGGCAAAACAGACACTAATCAGGTATTAGTTGTAACCATTAATGAAAAAGCTAATGAGGTGCTGAGATCCCCAGCGCTGACTGAAATGAGTTAATCACATCTCACTGCTCAAAGGCCCATTAGCCTGCCTGCATGCTGATGTTTCCCATTCCATTGCTTATTATAGGAAATAAAAACTTTGCTACGGCTTCATTTACTTGCATCTGCTAGATCTCTCTGCTAAACTGTAAAGTCGTGTACTGTGGGCCGAACTTCCAACTTTTGCTGCCAAGCAGCAAAGTTCCCTTGGCCCCCACGAAGCCACCCCAGAGAGGGCTATCACTGGTGGAATGGCACCCACCGTCAGGGTGGGTCAGCCTTATGCTGACCTGGAGAGGGAAACAAACACCATCCCCACAGCCACATAAAATTGATTTCTCATTCCCCCCCAGGTGTTGGTTTAAAATGTTATTCCAGCTCCCACAGTAATAAGAACTGAAATGCCACCAGTGTCCCAGCTGCACTCCTGAAGCAGCTCCTGTTTTTGTTCAGTTGATATCCTGTCATTCCTGCTAGTGGTGAGTAGTAATCTCACCAGAACCCAGTGCTATCTGGGATGAATGAGTAATTGGAAGCAACTAGCAGCTGAGGGAGTTTTTTAAAATTTGACGTAAAGGTTCATCTCAGGTGTTGTTGGTAATACCGGCTCTCAGACTTAGGAAAGGTCTTAGCACCCTTTGAATTCACAGGCGTTTTTAAGTATCGGGTTTATTTTAATCTGGCTGGAATGAAGTTAAGTTTCTTCCTAGCAGCCCATATAGTACGGAGCCTGGGATTGGTGGTAGGGGGATGTGAGGGGGCTGTGTGGGTGCTTGGCTGCTGGCTGGGGTCAAATCACAATGTGTGCTCAAAAGCATCACCAGCCTAATTCTCTCCTGGCCCACCTACTTTGATGGACCAAACAAAGGGGTAAAACCCTACTTTTTTTCAAAAGGTTTTCTAGGAGATCAATTGGCTTTATTTTAATGTATCCTGTCTTCACCTTAATGTCTGTTGATTTCTATTTCCTTACCTACCTATTCAAATCAAGCCCTTAAAGGACAGAGCCTGTCACCTTTCAGAATTTATCCCTGCAGCCAACTCTTTGATGACTCCAGTGATGAACCATCAGTCATCAGTCTCTCCCATGACTTTGACTGTGATTCCACCACTGCTGGCAGAAGCTTATCTGCATCTTGGGGAACTTGCTCACACATACCCACCTGATATCTGATTATACAAAATCCTTCAGTGCTTAAAGGAGAGTGGAAATAGTGATAGGAGAAGAGGGAACTGTTTTAAATTAAAAGACCAGAGATTTATATTAGATGGTTCGAAGAAATTATTTACTGTGAGGATGATGGTGAGGTTATGAAACTGGTTACCCACAGAAGTTGTGGATGCCCCACCATGGAAGTGTTCAAGGCCAGAGTGGATGTGACTTTGAGCCACCTGGTCTAGTGGAAGGAGTCCCTGCCCATGGCAGCAGGATTGGAATGACATGATCTTGAAGATCCCTTCCAACTAAGCCATTCTATGATTCTGTGATTGATTCTATGAAATCACTCTTTCCACTTTTTTCTACCATATGAAACCCCTTCAGGTATTTGCATGGGCTGAACACAGGATGTGGCTGCAAACTGGACATGCTTCAAAGCACAACCCAAGCGTGGGCAGTGCACTCAAACAGCCAGCAGGCTGGGTCTGGGGAGCAATGTGCAGCTCCCCTGGGTGGTGGCAGCTTTTTGGGGCCAGACCCAGGAGAGCAAGGAGGGTAACACAACAATCCACATGGGGAGAAACTGCCTTAAGGAGCTCCTTGATAGAACACTTGATTCGGAGGCTTGGTTGGGGCATCTTTGGAGGAATACCATGGTGCTGCAGGATGCAACATCAGTGGCACAGGTTAGGATGCTTTTCTTACTGACCTGGTGTCTGGGTGGATAGGGAAGCACCTGTAGTTGCTGTGTAGCTCTGGAGTCTCTGATTATATGGAAAAAATAACTATTGTGGGAAATGTCCTGTCGTAATAGGAGAACATTTAACTGAAAACACAGAGATTTACCTCTGCATACAAGTACCTAAGAAATTTTCATTGTGAACCATATTTTATTTCATATTGCCCCATGACAACAAAATGTAGTGACATCTGCTCCCTGAAATTCTGCAGGAAAGACAGGCAAAAACAGATTTTTAAGGATGGCAAGGGACTCCCTTGCCTTTTCATTTGTTGGGTTTAATTGCTATTCTGACTGTGAGCCATCAGAGGAACCCACGCCATGAACTGAAGCCATATATTTCCCCTGTGGGTACTTTCTTTCTTGATTTGATGGTGTAAGCAAAGTCCTTTGTCCAAGTCCTGTGGTCAGTCCATCTGCCTGCATATTGCTCTTACTGCTGCTGCATGTGTTACTGGTCTCAGGCGTTTTTTCAGATTGTAATTTTATGCAAATTACTTTCCTGACAAAATCATTTCAGACCTGGAAGCTGCATTTCTTGTGAGTGGTTATGAAGCAAAATGAAAAATTATTTTCAAGAGACAGCTGTTCCCTGGTGTTATTTTTGTTTGCTGAGGATGACAGAGGAACAAATGCTTCACATCTCCTCTGCACCTGAAGTGACTGGGACAGCTCCTCAGGCTTCTGTGCCTCTGCTTCCCATTCATTTTCAACAAGTGTGATTCTGTCTGGGTTGTATCTGTTAATGGTGGTTAATATCTCACTGATGTAGCATGTCTAGAGCCTGGGTTAAAAAGCAAAATATGAAGCAGCTTCTGAGAACCTGATCCTCTGAAGGTCACACTGCACAGCAGCTCTTACTGTGACCATATCTGAACTTGAGCTTCTGGAGCTGCCCTCTGATGACTTCTTGAGTTTCTTACCACTAAGCAACCAGGATGGTTGCATTTCAATAGGCAACTTGTATCACTGCTAGACCATCTACCCTAATCACTCCCTTAAACAATGAAAGGCAATGGCACACAGGGAAAGTGAACCATTGATGGGGTTCATAAGAAATAGCTCTGGTGGAGTCTCCACATGTACAGCCGTGGTCATGCAGATGCAGTGGTGTGGCCTGCTGAAGTGATGCCTGATCAAAGAGATCATCTCCTACATGGGCATTCTAATGGACATTTGGGCCACCCATAACTGAAGGGCTTGTGTGATCACAGCAGATGAATTAGGCCCTTAAAGCAGGGACCTGGGGTGGATCCTCAGCATCTCAGCTGGCTCTGTGGGTCACAGAGAAGACAGACAAGTTGAATCTCTTCTCTAGTCACTAATTTCTGAGCTTGCCTTAATTTCTCTTGCATGTTACCTAAATAGAGCCCATATCCTTCAGGAGACCAATTTTTTTCTCCAGAGAGGCCTAGAGCTGCCAGAAGGTGAGCAGTGTGATGCCCAAGACCACATGGTCAGCAGCCTGAAACATGGCAAGGTCACCCTTGGGATAATAGAATCATAAAAGTTGGAAAAGATCTCCAAGATCATTGAGTCCAACTGGATGGGCGGGAGGGAAGTCAAATAGGGCTTCATTACACTGTTATGTGACAGAGGACATTCTAGGAGCTAATGAAAATACTGTGGAAAGAAGTATGTACAGAGAGAAACACCCTTGATTTGATTATAATAAAAAATTTATTTTGATTCATATCATACTGAAAAATTAAATAAATAAAATGACAAAGAATGATTGATACTGTCCACCATCAGAGAAAAAAAAATCATAATGGATTGTGTATTCAGACAAAAATAGGATGAGAATCTGGTCATGGGAGGAAAAAAGTGCTCAAGAGATTTGGCTTTGGTAAAAAACATAACACATGCTCAAGGAGTGCTTCAGAGAGTTTGCAGTGGCGGCAAATACAGTCCAAGAGTTTGAAGCCTTGACATGTTGCTGAATTTTTCCCTTGGTTGTTCTTTTAAACAAAATAAACCCAGAAAGTTTCTAGCAGGAACACAGTCTTCAACAATGGCAGTGGAAATTAATTCTTCCCTCAGCATCACCTGTTGGTGTCTCAAAGGCATTTGAAAGAGCAGCAAAATTGTAGAGAAACTGAGACAAAGATCTAGCACCACAGTCAGCTACCTAAAGAACTCCAGAAGAAGTTCCTCTGGAATAGAAATTTGATGGCACAGACTATTCCTCATCCTACACCTGGAGACATCCACTCTCAGCTCTCCTCACACTCTGAAAAATGGACATCAGTGGTACCCAGTTACTGCTTGCTGTTGGCAAGAAAATTAAATGGGAATTGCAGCTTATTCCATGATAAAGACACTGAATTATCTGCAATAGTATGAACCATAAGGTTTTATATGTGTTGTTAGAGGCAGAATATTCAGGGGAAAATGGGAAATTTAATTAGAACAGGAAAAGAAAACTTCCAAAACAACACAGACTAGAATATACCTTGGCTTCTTTTACCACTTTCTTTGATTGTATTAAAAAATATATCAATGGGATATGGGTACTGAACTACCACGAGTTTTCTTCCAAATCTTTCTAAAAATGACTGAAAGAGCATTGAATGTTTCTGAATTCCTGACATATTTCCATGAGGAAAAAAAAAGAAAAAGTATTTTGAAGATCCAAAATCCAGCCACAGTGTGAAGATAACACTGGGGTCTTCTATGTATTCTTTTTCCTCTTAAAGTTGTTTTGCTTGTATTAGCACACCATCTCACCAGAATCAAGAGTGCGCTCATACTCGCGTGGGTAAAGCAGTTTATGTTGGTGAGTGGTGCTGTGACCCAAAATTCCAGCTGACCATGCCACTGTGCCATGTATTGCTGCCTTGGAGAGCACCTCACTCATACCAACTGCCACAGAAAGACAAGGGGATAAATCTTGGATGAAGCACATCACTGATTCAAGGGCTTTCACTGAGCTCAAAAGACTCATTTGCTTGGGCATCCTGCCACAATTGGTAAATGGAAGAGGAGACATTTAGATGATGATTTCTTTTGCCATAAACCCCAACCAATGTGATAGATTAATAATTAAATATGCAATTTTTAACAATGCTGATTGGAAGTCCCTTGAAGTCTGTGGCAGACTTCACCGGAGCTGAAACTGGGTCAATTATCCATGAGTCCTGTTTTCATGAAGTCAGGAAGAAAACACCACTGTTTTCCATTCTTCACTGCCTGAACTTGGATTCATACTTTATCTGTCCTTGAGGCTTAAATGCATTGATTCCAGGAAAAACTTGTGGATATAAAACCTCTGCTGTAACCTCCCTTCTTCCACTGCCTAGAGGTACTGACATTAATATGCTCATTCCTCCAGAGATGCACATAATTTTGAAGTCTACCTTATGCTGTAAGATCAGCTTCCATAGACTGTGTCTTTGTAGGTGCTGCTACAGAGCAAACGATTCTTATTGTATTACTAGTTGGTATCCCAACTTGTGATATTTTTCTGTTTCAAATAGAGACCTTGTAAAGAGATAACACTTTTTAAAATTTGTAAAAAAATAAGAAGAAAAGTTTCCTTGGGACTTCTGAATATTTTCCCATAAAAAAGGGTAAAAGCTACCTTTAAAAATTAGTCTGGTTTTTGTTTGCTCAAATGCAATATAGGAGTTGTTATTATTGGTTTTGATTACAAAAGTGTACCAGACAGAAGATAAACTTTGGTTGATTTCCCCCCCCTTTTATAAAAAAGTTTAATTTAGGGTTTGTCATCTTAAAAAAAAAAATCACATTTGTTGCACAATTATGAAAGGCACATATAAACGACTTAAAGAAGAAAGTCCACTTTCCAATCTTAAACTGATTAAATAAAAAAAGCATTACAGAGTATTTTCCACACACAAAAAAAAAAGAAAAAAAAAAGAAAAAAAGAACAAAAATTACATATAACCAAACAAGACAAATAAGTGGCTAAAAAGGCCTTTTTTTTTTTTCCTGGAGTTTTCAGTATTGTTTTCTCCATCATTATGGCTGCATAGGAAGCAATATTAAATACTACAAGATAAGATACATTTTGATTCATATTTTCTAGACACTATCAATGCAGAATGAGGCAATGGTTCAAATATTTACTATTCCAGGCAACTTCATCATGTTTTTTCTTAATACAGCATGGAAACAGAAGTAATAGAGAAAACAGAAGAAACAGTTCAAAAAGAAGATCAACAGCAGAAGTGAATTCTTTTCTTTGAGGTAATCCTTACTATGATGTTCACAGCTGCCTTAGTGGGTCTCAGGTCCCAAAAGTCGTTTTCACTCTTCTTCAGGGATCTCCTGCCTTGCTCAAAGGAAAGAACGGACACACAGACAGCAGTTCCTGTGCCCAGGTTTCCTCTAATTGCAACAGGCAGATCTTTCATCAGGAATTCAAGAATCAAGCCGTAGAGCCTAAGCAGAGACTAATTTATTCCCACAGCTGATTGATGGCTCCCGGCTGTTCGTGGATAGGAAATCTTGTGCAGTGTTGAGGCCGGTCCTTGGCCCAGTTCCCTGCAGTGTGAGATGCTCTGATTCCACTGCAGGTCCACGCCTTCAAACCTGGCTGGTGCCCAGATCATCTTCACTGAGCTTTGTTCCGCTGCATGCTGGAAATTGCAGCCCCCACTCCTCCCTGTGGCCAGGGTCATCTGCCCTTGAAAAATTTAATTTTTTCAATGGAGGCAAGAGTCAAAGTTATATTGAACTCGAAATCCCCGTCGTGGACTCCTGTCTTCCGGAAAGCCCCACCTGAAGTGTTGTTTTCCCAGTAGTGATGCCAGTGTCCTTTGCTGTCTGCTCCAAAGCCATACACACTCACCTAGGATGTAAGAGAGAACTAGTGTTACAGACCAGAAAGCAGTTGGTCTTCATCTGAAACGCTGAAGAAACTCTCTTAACTCTCAGTGTACTCATAGGCAGCAGCACCTGAGGACATCAGTGATGTGCCAAGCTCTTCTACTGCACGACACGATGCAACCAGAGTAATGGCCCAAGGCCTCATCAAGGGCGTTACATCTTAAGCTATGCTGAGACACCACCGTACCTGGGCTCAAAGAGAAAAGGAAATTTCTATCCATTAATTCTTGTTTAGCAACATGAAAACCACATTCCTACCCCTTAAGCGTGATGTTTGAGAGATCAGTGGCTTGGGATGGGAATGTCTTTTTTAGCTGATTAAGGCCACAGAGGTTGAAAAAATTTTGGTTTGGTCTTAGTCTTCCAAGTAATTACCCATGTTGGCCCCACTTACATACTTAATTACATGATACTTGCAGTTACTTCAGAGAGAGATGGACAGTATGTTCCTTGTTTGTATACCCCTACAACCTTTCCTCTCACAAAGGCTTGTTTATCAATGGCTATGCCTGCTGTCTCCTCTAGTGGTAAAAGTCTAAACATCACAGTTGTTTTATTTAAACTCAGAGTGATGACATGGCTGGACTTGAATGGGTCATAACCACAACACAAATTCCCTAAACACCCACACATGGGCCTACCCAAATATGAGTTGGTTTTAAGTCATTTTTGCTAACATCAGAGCCTTGTTCAGTGCCTGCTCACTAGAAAACTGGCTCCACCCAAGCACCCATCCTTTCTGCTGGGACAACGGTACAGTTTCTTCCAGTATTTTTAGGAGTATTTCCACCACTTTTCTAAGGTGCAAGACAAGACAGTCCTGGGTGACCAAAACTCTTTCATCAGCAGATCTGTGTCCAGGACAGAGATTTTGCCAGTACAGTGATTTTTATCCCCCATACTGACAAACCCATTCTTGCAGGATTTTGTAGAGCTGACCTGGCCTTACTCTAACTAGCTGAGTCTCCAGTGACCTAGGAGCACTTTACACCAGTCAAACAAGGGAATTTCCTCAAGGAACTGCTGAAGCAGAGACATTTTCTATAACCTACTGTATAAACCCATGAGCTCAAATTTAATAATAGACCAGAGCAACAACAATGTCTCTTAGTCCTTTAAGAGCTGGACAAAATATAATTGAGACTTTCACTAGCAAGATGGGCACAGACACCCTCCATGTTTAGATGTCTTCTGATACCAAGTGGAATCTCTGTTAATGTTTAATTATATTATCCTGAAATGCATCTTAAATGCATCTTTACCACTTGTTGACATTAAAAAATCCATCAGTCAGCTGAGTGTGTCTGCATGTTACTGAGGAGCTTGCATTTGTTTGAAGAAGTAAATGGCAGAGAAGGTAGAGAGGGGGAAACAAAGGCTGAGTGAGTGCCCAGGGGTTGTTCCTGGCTCTTCCACTTGAAATGTCCTGATTTTCTATCCACAGATCCAAAACACAGTCAGACTTTACCTCATCGCATACATGGAGAGCAAATATCAAAGAGAGGAGGCCTGTGGAGGGATATCTCCCATGATGCTCGAGCCAGTTTTCATAGATGTATTTCATGAAAGCTGGATTGTAAACCAGGATCTAGGCAAAATTGGAGTGAAAGACTCATTAGTAAAATACCCTGGGGAAAAAGCAATGGTTGCACATTATTCCTTATGGACGCTGGGATAGGGGAGTGAGTAAGAAAGCAATAATAGTTATTCCTTGAGGGCAGGTGAAAAGGAAAAATTAGGTTCCATATAAAGTGCATTCAGGAACATTTCTCATGTGCAATTACATATGAATAACCCTTCCTTGGTCTTGATATTCCACCTGCTTACACTGATGTAAATCCTGGTGATTCCTACTGAAAGCAACAGGTATGAAATGGCACAAGGGAGATGAAAATTAAACATTAGGCATTCAACTCTCCCTGGGCTCTGAGAGGCTGGAGTTCTGAGCAAGGCAAGCATGAGATGCTGTGACACATTTCATAGAACCACAGATAAATTTAGGTTGGAAAAGACTCTGAAGATCACCAAGCTCAACCACAATTTGATTGGGAACATAGGAGCAACTGCGTCTTCTGCACAATATGCCAACCATGTCTTGGTATCTCTACAGGTACAGATCTAAGGAAAACAAGGATCAGGTGTAAACTGTAAGGAAGCCTATCAGGCAGTGCCAGCTGCTTTTCCCCTGTTTCCAAAACCATGCTATTTTTCTGTGCTCTATGCTTTTTCTTATGAGACATAAAATGCACTTGATTATCTCCTGGGAAATTATGAGGTTATCTCACAGAGACGGAGCACTTAAGATCAGACATGAGCATACAGTAAATCCAAGGAATGGTGGTATCCCTTGGGTTCAACTTCCTCCCCTGAATGAGGCAAATAGAGGCTTATCCCTCCATGCTGCGTTTTTAATTAGAGTGACAGCATTTCAGTGCTATCTATTTAGCTGCAGGGCTTTTCCTTTTACAAAGTCAGAAGTTAATTGCTGATATTGCATCCGTGTGTAATCGCCTCTCACAGGGTGTTTTGCACTGCACGGTGTGGGAGGAGATACAAGCTTCTCCTCTCCCCATTTGGGAAGCTTCTGTGCATCACCAGCTGCACCCTGGGCTGCTGCTACTCAACAACACACCCTAGTGCATCTCACAGGGGTTTTGCAGAGGTTATCATGTTCCTCACAACTGTTGGGATGAGCTAGGGGATTATTTAATGCGATCTAGAAGTCCATGGTTTGAAGCACAAGGATATAAACTGATACTAGTTAAAGGTCTCAGCTGAAGCCTTTGGCAAAACCTGGTTTCTCGAATGAAGGGTGTGTGCTTTAATCTGTAATTTTAATGCTCTGGAGCTAATGTCATATTTTACAAGCCCTTGAGACATTAGATGCCTGTACTCCTTTCGAAAATCAGCCTCTCCTAAGGGTAGGAGGGTGAGATTTTTATTTTGCTGGAAGCTCTATGGAAGATGTTTTTCCTCTCCCTACACAGCCTGCCTTGGTTATGTCCTCAAACCACGCAGCTACAACAACAGAAGTCTTTGCAGGGTGGCTTAGGGTCCAACATGGGAATTAGCATCCTGCCTCATGGGAAATCCTTCCTTCAGCCTGTCACTGTACAAAGCAGGGAACACTCCCTGGTCTGTGCTATCCTCCAAAACGTGCTTGAACATTGCCTGTGAGACCAGTAATACATCTGGAACCAAACCTGCATGGACATGGCCTGAGCCCAGTCTCCAAACTTGTTTAATTGGGTACAGGTAATTACTACAGCTTAGCTGTGGGCTAAGAGCCTACAATCAGGAATTTTCCATTAGCTTACAAACTCATAGTTTTATTTGTTCAGAGTTCACTTAGCTCCTTATTACAAGGAGCAGACCTGGGAATGAGAAACATCCCTGGTGTTCAAATAGTAACATGATTATAAAAAAACCCTCCAAAATCTCTCCACAGTGTCATTACATCCAAACAACTGCAATGGGTGGCAACAGAGTTACTGCTGTGGAGGACAACAATGCACTTTTAATGTCCCTGAGCAGCACCAGAGGAAGTGGTGCAACCTTCAGAGCAGTGTTCATACTATGGTATAATCACAAGAGCAATTTCTTTCCAACCTCAGTTATTTAGTGGTTGTTCTATAGCCTAAATGGCACACTGGAGCTAAATCTTTAGCTTAGCTGAGCCTTGTAAAGTGTCTGTATTTTGGCTGCAATTTTTATGAATGTCAAGGGCTTGCTTAGATTCTTGCAGTCTCCTAAAGAGGTAAATGACCTACAAGTGAATTAGCAGAACCTAATGTCCAAACCAGCATCTCTCACCTTGTCTTTTTTGACTTTGATTTTCCGTGGAACTGGAACATATGTGCTGTTAAAAGAAAAACAAAACCAGAAGTAAGATAAATAAAAGCCCAACTTATTAATATTTTCAAGTAATTCCAAATAAAAGATATTCTTCATGTACAATAATAAATTCGAATTATTTGAAAGTAGTAAACTCAAGAAGTTGCTGTAAAATGAGTCTGCAGTTAAGTAACACAGCATGAAAAGAACTGAGCTGTCACTGAAGCAAATTTATAGGAAACCATTAGGTTATTAAATTTCCAAACTAATTATTGACAGTAGGACACCAAAGACTTAGTTGAGAATATACTGCAGAGTCAATACCACGTGGAGCTTGAGACTCCTAATTCTTGAATTGTGACTGTTGCAGTCTTTGCACTTTGAGGATGGGAAGGACTTTCCATTTAATTTCATGGCGGAAAATGCTTTTCCCACCAGGGGGAGACCTTTCCCCTCCTAATATTTGGAGGTACCTCACAGTTCTCAGAGTCGGTGGCAGCAGAGTTCATCACTTCTGTAGTTCTGTGCAACTCGGCATTCCCAGTACACAGCCCCTCACCAGCAAGCTACTCCCTTCCTCCCCAGGGTGATGCTGAAGGCTTCCTGCAGTTGCCAGCATAAAAATTCCAAGTCATACCTTATGACTGGATTGAAATCACGAGTCATGACTTGAAAACAAAAAAAACTTTTATTCCCCGTATCTCAAGCACAGTGTGTGCTGGCATTGCACAGTTCATCATGAGTTATGTAAAAAAAACCATCTCCCTGAGTTTGTTTCAAGTGAAAAAATTCTGGTGAACTGGCCTGATAATTAAAGTATATCCCAAAATGTACTCTGAATACTTTTTGGATGGATTGTGGTAAATCACCAAAGCCATTAGTTTAATGTAAACATTTTCACTTGGTTTTTGGTAACTTTAAGGCTTCTGTCATTAGTGTTTTATTTTCTTTGGACCATGGAACATAAACACGTTGAAACCTCAGTCTAAATCTTCCCAAACCAGTGGTGACCTGGCAATGTTCTCGTCTCCTTAGGTACTTCTGGGCATCCCTGACCTGCAATCCCTGCTCTAGGCTGGATACACTGAGAAAGATGATGGGTGGTTCCAGCCCTCCTGAGAGGTGGGACAAGATGCTAATGGGGAAAGGGACACTGATGCAGACTTCTTGATCTGCTCTCAGCAAATATGCCCTTGTAACTGCTTTCCATGCCTGACTTTGGTTAGCAAATCAGTAGACATAGTCTTGGTGATTCCATGTCCTTTTTGTGGTTATGAAGACAAAAAGGGGTCCTTCCAGAAAAAATACCCAAGGCCTACTGTCACTTGGCTGCAGAATTTCATAAAAATGCACAGAAAGTATTGGCACAGTGACAAAGGCCCAGGACATCCAGGGAGTGAGTGACCCAGTAAGTACCACACAGGAGTGAGACAGAGTGTCCTGTGATGAAGGTGGAAGGAATACAAAAACAGTCTTTGCCAAACCAACTGGAGCCTTTTTTTCACTATGCAGAGTCCCAGAAGGCAAGTTAAGGCAACTAGGCTAAATATATTATTGATGAAGGCCTGAAGGTTTCCTATCCCTAAAAGGGCTTTTCTTAGTCTTTTCTGGGATAATGCTCAGTCTTAGAGAGACACTTTAAGATGGGACATATATAAGTCAAACGATATATGACTCAGAAAAATCATTCAGCTATCAATTCAAAATAATATTAAGACAATCTGCAATTTAGATTTTGGGTTGAAATGTAAAAATTCTTAGTATACCACTGGGAGGAGAATATGTTTAATTCACAGGTTTTGAGTTTTAAGAAATTATTCTTTCATTTGAACGGGATACAGAAAATTAAACCCTGTGTAAAAGTCTAACCAATACAGGATGTTTATCTTTTTGATAAAAAAGATTTTTAGATTCTTATTAGCCTAAACTCAGTTGACACTGTGTAGCCTGTGCACAAGGCATGATGACCAAGCAGGTCAGGGAAGGGAGATAAGTACTTTTTTTCTTCTAAAATACCAATTTTCAGATGTGTTTTATTTTTATTTCATGCTTCTCACCTTTAAAAACATACACTGAACAGTTTCCTTATACACAGTATCTGATATTATGTGTTTAATGCATGCTCATAGGTTACTTCTCCTAGCCTAAAATTATGTTACATATATTGCTATGATTTGTGTGCTTATGATTCCTTGCTTTTATTATTCTAGAATTATACCAGCTTATTAATTATGCAATTTCCCTGCTCTGAGTATGGAAAAAATAATAAAATACTGGTATTTCTTCCATGTGGTTAAATACTCACACACTAATTTATACCAGGTGCTTAATAAGCCCATGTATACAATCTACTTATAAATATATAATATATCCTGTAATTTATTAAGGAAAAATGTTTTCCCTTTCATGTGCTGTGACTGCATTGTAGTCAACCAGTTATATCTTCCTAATAGGCTAAGGGCTTACTAGACTTGCAGTGCAAACCTCAGAGTTCAGAAAGTGCCTAGAGCTTTCTCCTGGGGCAGGGACAGGCAGTAGAGAGGCAAAACATGTGCCCATGTGAATTATAGAACCATAGAATCATAGAATCATTTAGGTTGGAAAAACCTCTAAGATCATTGAGTCAGAAGTTGAACCAGCACTGCCAAGTCATCACTAAACCATGTCCCCAAGTGCCACACCTACATGTCTTTTAAATCCCTCCAGGGATGGTGACTCCACCACTCCTTGGACATCCTGTTCCAATGCTTGACAGACCTGTTGGTGAAGAAATTGTTCCTAATGTCCAGTCAAAAACTCCTCTGGTGCAGCTTGAGGCCATGTCCTCCATTGCTTGCTTCTTGGGAGAAGAGACTGACCCCCACCTCACCACAAACCTCCTTTCAGGTACTTTCAGAGAGCAATAAGGTCTCCCCTGCTTACCCTCTCTTACCCCTCTCTTACCCCAGACTAAACAACCCCTGCTCTCACAGTTGCTCCTCATCACGCTTGTGCTCCAAACCCTTCCCCAGATCCACTGCCCTTCTCTGGACATGTTCCAGCACCTCAATGTCTTTCTTGTAGTGAGTGGTCCAGTCTCCTAAGTGGGCTGATTTTTCCAAGTTATAAGGGTATCCTGAGGATGGATTTTTTCCCAAGACAACTTATGACTATATAGATTAAATGCTGGTAGTGAAAAAGGTAAAAAGAAAACTAACCCAGACTTGGTACAAGTTAAGAGAATTTTAATAAGAAGTGAAAATAATCTAAAATGCAAATGCAAAAAGAGAAAAGAGGGAAAAAAAATAAAAAAGAAGAAATAAAACTTCATTTTTTGTTCCATCAAAAAGTTTTCCTTAAAATTGCAGAGTTGGTTTTATGCCCAGTCAACATGCCCAGGACATACTTTTCCAAGCTGTAAGTGTTCTGAGACTTTGAAATTAGGAAAAAAGTTGCAACGTCTTGAAATACTTCTCTCTGGAATCAAGTAATCTGATCCACTCTTTTTGTCTGTGTGTAGCAGGGTGCCACCAAGTAATCCCACAAGGCTGTGGTTTTACATCCAGCAGATAGCCTCACACACAGTACAAATGTCACATACTTCATTCTCTGGATTAGGAAAAGCCAGCTTATGGGAAGGGAGAGAATCTGGCAGTAGGCGTCCAGCAGAAACATGCATTTTGATTGCATTTCTAATTCTGGTGCTGCCATATTAAGCAGGACAACCTTTTCTTCTGACAGCACTCATAAAGAAGTACCGGAGAATAAATTCCAGTGTGGCACATTATTGACAAGTAGAACACTTGAATTTAAGGCTGAGACATGCAGGCGACACACAGAACATTGTCTCCTCTGCACAGTTCTCAGTCACATTCTACCAGGAAAGATGGACCAAACTCCTGGCCAGCCTGTCCAGGGAAGAATGCTGTGGATGGGGCACAAAGTGCTGCGGTCTGGGTTTGCTCTCACTGCCTCAGGTGAGCAACCTGCATACACCTCTCCCTCCTTGGCCTCTTCTGCAAGTGGAATATTATATGTTGGAGGACCACTTGGCCACTCAAGTGTCTTGGGTGGGATAATCCAGGTGTCTAGGACCACCCCTAAATGAATAACCCACTAAAAACTCGATTCTGCAGATGGCTTTCTGATGGGTACATGCTGGCTGCACTCACTGTACTCCCAAGGGACCAGAGACAAGGAAGGATGAGCAGAAACTCAAAATGAGGCACTGAACACCAAAGCTCAGGAAGCTTCTGCTCAAACTGGCTGCAAAAACTCCCCTTTTCATATCTCTGAGAATACTGCGTGGGGTTGTGAAGAAATGGGTCTTGATCTTTGCCTCAATGACTGCACCATAACATAAAGCTTTTCCTAGAAAGCAAGAGTTCAGGGCTGAACTCTGATTTAAGAGGGTCTGAAAAGAACCCCTAGGCCTTATCAGAAGCAGGGATTTGTCCCATGTAAGCTATGATCTCCTACAGCAACATGAAGTATGGAGCTCCCACCCCTTGTGCCTGCCCTTACTCACAAGTTGATGGTGCCTGTGGTGAGAGCGGTGACAACCCAGCGCAGGTCCAGAGTTTTGAAGGGGATCAGGATCATGCTCACATTTGCTGCCAGCTCTTTGTAGCTCTCAGGATAAACAAAGTGGTGAGTGGTCTTGCTCCCAACATCTGATTCGTAGCCAGCAGTGGGGGCACGGTTCATTCTGCAGCCAAAAAGTAAAAAGTGAGAAAGTGAAGAAGCAGAAGAGGAATTAGGTAGGTACAAACACATGTGAATCTCCACAAAGTCATTTGCTTGAGGGGAAGGAATATACTCTCATGGCTAATGGGAGTGCTGTATACAGGCTCTTCATACACCCTTGACAGGGTGTCGGGGTCCTCAAGCAAGCTGGAAAAATCATCACCCATGTGGATAAACAGTAAATGAAAGCTCAGCTTTGGTGTGGAATTCCTTGATTGAACAGGAGTGTCTACCAAGCAGGTATATCTCTGAGCATATTCCTGATTACCCTTTACAGTCAGCAGAGAAATGACTAAAAGGGTGGTGAGTCCAGGAGGACATATTTCATCCTAAAGCTGCATCCTCCAGTTGGTGAGAAAATCATTTCCCTGAAGTACATCAGTTTGACTTCTTGCAGTTTCTTTCGCCCCATCTCTACAGGTGTATTTGAATGTCTAGGATCAAGGTAATAAACTATGTAATATGTGATGAGGAGCAGCCAATATTCCTTATGGTTGTCCCATGAAAAGGCATCAAAGCCACAGTGACAAATACAGGACCTGCTGCTGACCCTTCATGTACTCAAACTTTACTTTCTAGTGTTTCATGCATCTACTCAGGGTGACTGTGCACACATGGGAGGTGCTTCAGGCAACCCTGGGGTAAGTACAAGGAGATCTGCCCAGGGCCACCAGGGCTCAGTCAAGACATGTTGGCCAAATAGGGCTACCCCACCTTATGTCACGTGTGTGAGGAAACAGAGAGGGGCTTTTTGAGCTCAGGGGGTTTAGGAACTGCAAAAATGCTTTTATGCTTGTGTTCACTTCTGAAAGCAAATCTGGGAAAACATCAGCACTTCTTTCCCCTGATGCTTTAGCTCCTTAGTGGTAGAGATTTGCATATTTCCGTGGTGCAGCAAAGTGCAGATCAAAGATCCCCAAAGCAACTTGCACAAATCCATGGTGCTGTGAAACACCAGGAGAAATCCTTCATCTGTCTCTGGGCACAATGGGGTTTTTCTGCAGTGACATTAGCTCAGCTCCTGGCAGAAGCACAGGGAGGACAAGGAAGGATGTAGCTGATGAGGTGATGAGGAGCATTGTACATTGCCAGATAATATGCTGCCCTGGCTGCTGATAGCAGTGTAGGCAAAATCTGTTCATCAAGTCTATGCCAGGCTGTGTTACTGCAGTGCTCCCCCAGGTGAATTACTTAAGTTTCTTCTAACTCCCTATAAGGGAGTTATTAGCGTAGGCAGAATAGCCTGCCAGCCTACGTGGATTTCTTATTGAGTTCCCTGTTATTGGCTTCCCTGCCAGAGACCCTTATCAGTGTAGAAATACCAGTAAAGCTTGAGACTTTCTATGTTTTATCTTGAGATTAGTCAGTGGAAGGTATAAAACATGGGCGTTTCTTTCCATCAAGAACGAAGACAATGGTGACATCTTAGTTATCTTGCAACCTTGCAACCTGCCCTCAGGTCTGTGTACCTTTCCTACCACCCGTGGTGGGGCTGCCTGTGCTACAGGGCAGAAAGCAGCATTCCCACCCAGTGTCAGCAAGAAGGACTGAGCAGGAATTTCCTTTCTGCCATGAAATTAGATAGTTATGCAAATAAAAGTGGGCTGGAACACACTGTAAGGAAAGGTGTCCCCCTCAGACTGTCTGTCTCTTCCTTACACTTGGCTGTATTGCCAGAGCACGTGGAAGAGAGTATCAGGTCGCCAGGGATTTTGTGCTTGACGCACAGAGGGGTCACCTTCTCTGCACAAACTCCCACGGTGAATCCTAAAACCTTGCGCAATCCTTTCAGATCTGGCTTAAGTTTGCTGAAATATAAATCCAAGACTGGAAGGTTCAGTTTCAAGTCACAGAGAGTTCCACCCTTGCCAGGGATGCATGACTGTAGGAAGGACAAGGCCTCAGAGCAGAAACATGCACCTGAGTGTGTTACTCTTTAGTTATTACTTTAAGTCAAGCAAAGCCTTTTCTGCATCAGTCTGGAAACATAGGCCAGGCAATATAAGAAAGTCCACATAGGAATGAGACAGTCTCCATAGGGATGGACACAGAGTTTGGCATAAATGCACCACAGCTTCCCACATTTGCAGCTGCCCCACATTTGCAACCTGTAGGACTAAAGTTGAGGGCTCTCCCTTTCCCTTCGTGGATCTCAAGACCAGGCTGGCTGCCTCTGCCTTCGGGGAGGTACTTTTGGCAGCGAGCAAGACATGCAACTGAAAGAAACAACTCCTGAAGTGACTTGCTGTGAACATTTAGATGTCATCTGAAGACTCTACGGCATGTCTGAGTCACATTGGAAGCCAAGGTGGCTTAACAGTTCAAATAGTGCTTATCCTTTGTTGATTTACTCTTGGTTTCAGTGCACAGCTTCCTACTAAGGGTTTTGTTGTTTCTGAGAGTGTAATCCCACTTGTGGTATTTTCAATCCCTCCCTTTCTGCCCTTTATTGCTCCCCAAATTGTTCTGTACTGACAGCTGTGGTGTGAAAGGTGGACAACACTTGGAGATTAACTTAGTCAGTCCAGGAATCTTGGTTGCCCTCTGGATGATTAGCTCTGCTTACCTAGTTTCTGCTTGCATCTCAGTGGGACAAAGTAGCCAACCTTCATTGCCTCAAAAGGGAAAGGCAGTGTGATCCTTTAAAAAGTACCTGCAGCCAAACAGTTGACTCCTGTCCACTGAAAAGTGACTTTGGCTTCCCCACCCCACCATTGCTTAATAATGAACCAGTGCCAGAAAGACAAATCTGATACAGTCAGTTAAATGTCTAAAAGATCATTTGTGAGTAATAGCTGAATTTTTAATTCAAAACTGACAATTTCTTTTTCATCTCTGTTTTTTTAAATGCAGATGAGTATGGATGATGCAGAACAAGCTACAGTATCAATACCTATTAACACTTTTTTTTCTAGGCTAAAACATGGAGACATATCTCCAACACACATAGTTTATATTCCTGGAACTTAGACTTGACTTAAGCACCAGATTTCACTAGATAGCCCTTGAAATCTTGTTTGCTCACTTGTCCCCCAAAATACCAGTGAATTTTAGACAACAAAGGTATCTGGAGCTGAGGTGGTTTTTACTCACCTGAGCACAAAGTCATGGGAATCAATATCTTGGCCATACTGCGACTGCCGGAGGTTCCCAGAGTTGCCCACGACAGCGCATCGTCTGCACGTGTAAGTACCTCTCTCCTGCAGGGGATCCCCATCCCCGGGAATGACCCCAAACAGTTCTGTGAGAGTAGTGTTCAAATTCCTCGGAGCTTTCTCTGCTTGCAATTTCTGTTAGGGAGAAAAATCACTCCAGGTTATCAATGCAGGCAGCTTTTCTGAGAGCTAGACGTAGCTTCAAATGTCTCCTCAAAGATCATTCTTGCACCCACCTGCAGACACTGCTTTCTGCAGTGGGTTGGGAGTCAAAGTGAGAAAAAAATAAAGTAAAAACCACTTCCCATTAACTTTTTTAACTTGACTTCCCTTTTCTCCTCCATCTCCTCAGATTTCCTCACCTCCTCAGACTCTGCCTAGCCACAAAGGAACAGATCATGCATTCTCTCCGAGGCTGGCCTTAGCAGAATAAATGTTCCTCTAGTATCTGTAAGCCTACTCACCCTGGGCCAGGTATATTCTGGTAGGATGTGTATAATGTCTTTTAGCTTTCCTAAAAAGGACAGAAGAGTCTCAGGGAACCTGACGGAACACAGAAATGGCTTATATCCCTTCCACATATTTTGGCATATGCCAGAAGTGGGAGAGGGAGATGGGAAGTCAAGTGTGAAGGAAGCAGCTACTTGTGCAACAGAAAACTACAGAGTTACAGAAAACTAACAGAGTTAGCCCTGAGGGCTGGAGATGTAAAATCATTTAAAAAAAAATCTCCAGGATGAGGAAAACCACACGGATCTTGGTCATTGTGTCTGTTGCCATGGAGGGAAACTGTTTTGTAGCAGCTCTGTGGTGCATGGTGGAAACAATGGCTGGACAGGGAAGGTACAGGCAAGGTGCAGGGTGGGTGATGGTCAGACACTCTTTTTCTGGGGCTCAGCTCTCTGAGGTCTACTAAAAAGTTTGGAAGCACTGGCGGGCTCACAGACACCATTGCCCACCCTACTGGCGTTATTTCCTTGCAAGCTTACAAAGAGAGAATGGCTCCAGCACTAAATGGGCCAAAAAGGCTCTGTCTTGCTCTGCCAGCCCAGGGTAGGGAGAGACAGGGAGGGAGAGAAGAGAAACACCTTTTCCCACGACTCCCAGGAATGGCCTGGAGGAATTTGGCTTTAGTTTCCAATGTGTTTCCCTTGGCTGCACCAGGAACTGTTCATTTGTCCTCGTATCTCCCTCTCTCACACAAACAGATGTAGCACTGTAATTTTTGTTTAAATTCCCTGCTGTCTTCTTGCAGAACGTTATTTGCACTGAAATGAAAAACAAGTCTGTGGAGCTGAGAGCTACAAGATGACATTAAGGCCAAGAACTTGAAACAAAGAAGACAAAGACATTTTGCATCCATAGACTTAATCTTCTTTCTAATCCTTCTTAGTCTATATACTTGTATATGGACTGCAGAAGGAGATTAGGATGCAAGGTAATTAGGATGTCCAAACAAGTACTGTATTAATGACCACATATGTCACTGTTCAATTATTTAAGTTAAAAAGGTTATCTTCCAAATTCCTGTCTGATGCTACAAACACATGGCCACATGTTTGTATACTTGTACATTCTTTGTGAATCCAATCTTACCTGATATTACTCTGAATCTGTGAAAAACAGTGTTAGAAAGCCTGTAGCCTTCAAAATAATTGGAGATTTCATAGATATCATAGAGTGTAGTAGCAGGTGTATAATGTAGTAAAATCTGATCTTTCTTGAAAAAGGAACTTATTTTGAGTTATTTGAATACATATTTGCATACACCCATGTATACTCTCTCTTTGTAATGGTGAGCTGATTTTTAACTGTATTTAAGAATGAAAGGCAAAACCACTAAAATCTTATTCGTGAACTGATTTTGCCTGAGAAAATTCAGATGTGGGAGGTAATTTTCAGAAAATTCTAAAATTCTACCTGGGCTCTCTTTTAGGTTAAATTGCCTTTTCATCCAGAATGATAAAATCAGAAAAGGAAAGGACCTGGAGTATTGGTGCATTTTTTATTCATTAAAATGGTGAGAAACATCCTGGATAGGCACCTGCATTTGCACAGCGTCTGTTTCTCTGCACTGCTGTCAGTGTAGAGTAAGTACTGCAGCCAAGTTGAAACATGGGCACCACCATCAGCCTGAAAGCAGAACACCATCATCCTACAATTCCTCAGCAGTGCACAACTCCAACAGGAAAGACTATTACTAATGTTAGAAATTCTCTCAGTGAGCTCAAATAGGATGATGACCTTATTGCACTCTGTGCTGGACATTCATACAATGAGACATCTGTCCTCAACTCATTTCAAGTCCTCTACTTAAATTTGCTCAATGGTTATCTGATTGAACTTTACTTTTCAGGCCTAATCTTCAACTAACACTAGTCAGTCTTTGATTTTTCAACAAAACAGAGAAGTTTAGGAAACACAGCTGGTTAACTTCAAAGCATATCCGACTTCTAAAAGTTCAGATCTAATGCACAGCCAATTCCTTATTGCACAATGTTTGCTTGGCTTATGGAAAAAGACCATTTTAATAGCATTACAATTACAAGCTTTTTTTTAAATAGCATTACAATTACAAGTTCACTTTCCCACACCAAATTTGTAATTATTTATTTTTTTTTAACAAAGTCTGGCCTTTCCCATAAATCAACAGAAGCACTGGGTGAAAGTCTGTCCACCCTGGGTGAGGCAGAGCCATAGCAGTGCCATGTGGCATTGCTGGGACAGCATCCTCCCTCCAAGAGCTGTAGGTGTGTGACAGGGATATGTGTAGAGATATAGCTGCTATAAGTGGCCTTATATACACTGAAATACCTGACCCCTGTGTCCTGAGTGAAGTGGCTGCTTTTCTCAGAAGTCTGTGCAAGCAATATCTCTGTCTAAAGAAGCAGTTTAACCTCTTGCCTAAGACCACCAACGATCTTAACCCACCTTGCGTCCATATATAAAATATCAATGGATCACTTAACTCTCCAGCTTCCCTGCTTAAAATATTTGTCTGGCACTTGAGAATTAACTCTTCACCTTGGGTTGTTAAAAACTGTAACTGGGAGTTCAGATTGAGAAGTTTCCTAATCATCTTCAAAGGGAAGATGTTATTTAAGCTGTTATCCAGCCTTAGAAACTCCCCATTTCATATGCAGAAATTTACTAACTGGATTTGCATCTTCTTATTTTAAAAAAAATCAAGCAAGGAAAAAAATAAAAAAAAAAAAGGCAAGAAAAAGAACCCTCAAAGTTTATGAACTTCTTTTCTTTAGTCATAAATGGCTTTCCAAGGAAGAGCTTGCTCCTTCTCTCATCACTGTGCACACACCTTCATTAAGGATGGCAAGGGATTTGCTGCTTTTATAAACTGCTTAGAGGGCTTTACTGAGCTCTCTGGTACCATCACATTGACAGTTATTGCAAGAAGTGATACCCAAAAACTTGGCTAAGGGATTGCAAGAGGAGAGTGTAAATTCAGCCAAGGCTGCTCAGAGCTAATAGCTTGGAGTGGTGATGATACAGCTGCAGTCATAGAATTATGGAATAATAGAATGGTTTGGGTTGGAAGGGACCTTAAAGATTATCTGGTTCCAACCCCCCTGCCATGGGCAGAGATAGGTCCCACTAGATCAGGTTCCTTCAAGCCCCATCCAGCCTGGCCTTGAACACTACCAGGGATACCACTTCTCTGGGTAACCAGGGCCAGTGCCTCACCACCCCCAAAGGAAAGCATTTCTTCCTGAAAACTAATATTAAACCTACCCTCTTCCAGGTCAAAGCCATTACCCCTTGTCCTATCACTTGTGTCCCATACCCTTGTGAAAAGTCCCTTTCCAGATCTCTTTTAATCCCCTTTGGGTACTGAAAGCCTGTAATAACATCTCTCTGGAGCCTTTTCTTTTCCAGGTTTGACAAACCAAACTCTCTCAATTTGTCTTTACAAGAAGGGTGTTCCAGTCTCTGAGTATCTTCCTGGCCTCCTCTGGACTAGCTCCAAGAGATCCACATCCTTCTTATGCTGGGGCCTCAAAAGAGTCAGGAGAACCTCAAAGGAAAGCTCTCCTGGTGCCTCTGCACCCTGCAACAGTCAAGTTTGGCAGTATATTAAATGCAACATCAAAATCCTAATTTATTAGCAGGTAGAATAGATTAACCTGTAATTATTGGTGTGATGTTGATGCAGGTAAAACATGGATCAAGGCAGACAGGTATAGGTGTGGGTCTGGCAACAACCAGAACTGGTGAGGCATCACTGCCAGCACACAGCCAGGCAGCTGGAGGAAGTTGGTGTAGCAGTACCAGGGTTTGTGGCTTTTCTAATTTTTTTAAACTGTTTTTAAGAGTTTAAGAGGGAATAAAGCCCCATGAGAACCTCTTTTGCACAGCTACTAATTGCCTTGCTGCAGCAGTTTGGAGGCATTAACACTCATGCAACACTATAAGACATTATACATTATACGAAGATTAATCCTGGCAACTCTGGTGGGGTAAACCCAGGTAATCTCCATTTTGCAGGCTGAAGGAGATGTTAAAAGGAAACCATCAATTTTTAAAATTCTCCCTTGGTTTGGAAAATATGGCATTACTATTGTTGTATTTAATGTCCTGTAATTCCTATGCATCAAAGACTTGGAAGGGGAAGAATATAGATTCTTTCAAGAGCCTGGTCTTTGTTTAACGACTTGTGTCATCAAAAAATTTACACTCTCAAATATGAATGTATATGTGCATATATTATGTAAATAGCACACAATAATATGCATATGCCAAATTGTGCGATTTCCGACTCCCATGGCTGATATGAGTCACCTCTACACTACTCTACAGTGTCAGACCATGCCTGTGCAAGCTCTGTGTGCCCTTGTTTCTGGCTTCAGGATGTTTGCAGCTCACGAGAGTGCATCACAGTGCTCAGAGAGACCTGTGAGCTTGGACCACCTTCACATCCATCTGTCCTCACCATAGAGGAGCAGCTCCAGCCCAGCTGGACTTGTGAGGGGGCTGCCAACGGGGGTAAGAGGTAGCCTAAGGTCAGGTTCTTCCAGTATGACCATATCTGGTCTAAATGTCATGCTTCCAACCAAGCAGTGCAATAGCAGGTGGGACTGGCACGTGGCAGGTACTGGGAGCAGAGCCTGGGACCTGGCCTGGATTCGGTACCACCTTCTGCAGAGATCTGGTAGCTACACACTTCCTTCAGTGCGCTGAGCCTTCTGTGTTGCCTTCAAAGTATCACCTACAGTGTCCCAGTTTTAAAGAAAACTTCTGGTGATCAAAGTACTTGCGTATATTTTCTACAAAGAGCATTCAAAATGCATGACTGAGGTGACAAGTAGCTCTGCTACTGTCTTAAAAATAAGTGCAGCTTCCACAACTTCCCCAGGGCACGTGTTGGGTATGCCCTTTTGTTCACCAGCTGGTTAGCAAATTTTAAAGGCATTTATTACATTTTTTCCTACAAACATAATGATTTAAAACTAATATTTTCTTTTAGATACACCAGTAACATGGCCCCAAGAGCTGAACTATCTTCCAAAAAAAAGAAGGCAAAACTCTCAAATATCATAAGACTCAAGATAAAAATTGCTATAACATGATAGTTTATGAACAATGTGCTACAGATAAGATTGCTAGGAAACTCTGAGCCTGAATTTACTTATCACACCTTTAATCCATCAACCTCAACACGTTTATTTTGAATTTAGAACAGCATGTTCTGATCTCATATTTTTAATACTTTATGGCCACTAAGAACAATACATCCAACCCTGAGAACAAAACAAGAAAACTATAAATAAGTCCTGTCCTGTGCTACAGCATGTAATTCTTGGTATGTTTCCTTATATATGGGTTACTAAATTTAGTGAGAACATCCACAGCCTTTGTGTCATAGTAAAACAATTGAAAACTTGCAGGTGAACCAACTCAGGGAGGTGGGAAAGAAAACATAAACAGAAAGGAATGTATCAAGTAACACCAGGTGCCACCTTCCAAAACACTGAGACTCTCACAGTCCCTGAGAATAAGATGAAGGTAGAGAAGACAGAGAGAGGAGTTGAGAGACAGGAAGGGAGGGAAGGAGAGAAGGAAGGAAGGAAGGCAGAAAGGCAGGAAGAAGGAAGTTCTAACAAAATGATTACAGCCTGGAGTGTTATTAAGGCCTAGATCATCCCGCAGAAGCAGAGGACTTGAATTCAGCTTCAAGTCAGAGAGAGCACAGAGAATCTGCAGTGGTGTACCCAGGAGGAGAATTTGGGCCATTATTTGCTACCAGACAAAAGCAATGAAGGCAGAGTTTATCAGCTGTGTAGATTTAAGGAAATGAAAAGCAATGAGCATTCCTGACAACATCCCCCTTGTTTCCGTGAGCACAGAAACAGTCAGGTACACTTCCAGGTGCTTCTCCACAGCAGCCCTGCCCCGTGCAGCAGGATGAGCTGCTGCAGGGATGGTGGCACTGACCTTCTCTTCCCTGCTCCTTCCCACCTTTACAGGTGGTAGTACTAAATCCAGTATGGATCAACAACTTTATTCAGAGTAGGCAGGCATATTTCCTTCCAAAAGGCCATGTTCTACCAAGATGAAAGAGTTTAAGCCATATATTCTCCAAATAAACTATGAAGCAGCCTGGCAGCCATGTGAAGAGCTGTAAGCAAGTGAAACAACCCCATTCTTTGGCCCCAAATGCCACTTTGTCTCCAATACTGATCAATAGTCTCTGAAATCAGTCCTCACTGTCCTAGCAGTGGAGGGATACTAATGCTGCAGGACCATTTAGATGAATAACATTCACATGTTCAGCGACACAGCTGAAGAAAGAGGGAGGGTAGACCAAGCTTGGTAGACGGGCAGTTCTCCAGCAAGGGCTCTGCCTGCATTTAGTCCAAACACATCCCATGACAGGAAAGTCACAGCCATGTAATTAATAACTCCAGTGCAGTCACCATCACCTCAGAGTCTCAGTTACAGCATAAGGAAACCACCACACTGTCTGAGGGCAGTTCCTGAGAGCGAACACAGTCATTTCTCCCCTCAATAGAAGTTTGAACAATCTCAGTCCTCCTCATACCTCATCTTTATGTACAAATATAGTAAAAAGTGACAAATTACTGCATTGGCAAAGCCCACAAGAGTAAAGCGTGGCCTTGAGCAATGTTTTCTTAAAGACTGGCTGAAATCTCAGAATCACTTTGAAGACGAACCTAAAAATGAACAGTGAAAAGGGAGTGCCGTCAGGATGCACCTGGGAGTTATTTACTGCAGAAATGACACTGACTGTCTTGAGAAAGCTTAACCAAAGCAACATGCACATTAGAAATCAGCAGCAATGAGGAGGTGAGGCTACATCATGCCTGGGTTTACCCAAGACCATCTTTCAGAGGAGTCAGGGCACTTTTGCCATATAACATAGATTAGGGCAAAGATTTCCAGTAAGCTACTGACTTCCAATACACAATGCAGTTTTGGGGGACACCAAAAAATTTCACACATCATGGCTGAAGATAGAAAATGTCTAAAAATATTAACAGATTTATTTTTACCATCTGAAAAAAAAAGAATGCTTTGATTTTGTATTCTGAAGAGGTACATTCCCTTTGAACTTGAGCTGAATTAGAAAAAAAAAAGAATGAAAACACTAAAATAGGGTTAGACAGCTCTGAAAATTAGTGAAAAGCTTTTATTTGGGGCAGAGGAGGGGAGACTTGTGACTGCTCTGAAAGTCACTGTTTTGTTCATTTTGCTGAAAGAGAAACAGACCTCCTCCAAAAGAATCCGTTTCAGGTTGAGCTGAATTTTTAATGCACTGGTGAGGCCACACCTTGACTCCTGTGTCCAGTTCTGGGCCTCTCACTTCAAGAAGGACACTGAGGTCCCGGAGTGAGTCCAAAGAAGGGCAATGAAGCTGGTGAAGAGCCTGGAGTGCAAGTCCTTTGAGGAGTGACTGAGAGAACTGGGGTTGTTTAGCCTGAAGAAGAAGATGTTCAGGGGTGACCTTATCATTCTCCACAACTGCCTGAAAGGAGGTTGTAGCCAGGTGGGCTACAACCCAGGTCTCTTCTCCCAGGCAATTAGGGTCGGGATAAGAGGACATAGTCTAAAACTGCACTGGGGAGGCTTAGGTTCAACATGAGGAGGATTTTCTTCACAGAAAGGGTGATTAGATATTGAAAAGGGCTGCCCAGGGACGTGGTGGAGTCACTGTCCTTGGAGATGTTTAAGGAAAGCCTGGACACAGCATCAGTGCCATGGTCTAGTTGACAAGGTGGTCTTCAGTCGTAGGTTGGACGTATCTGGAAGGTCTTTTCCAACCTAATTCATTCTGTGACTCTTTTCACAGTTTCACTACAATAAGTAGAATCAGAAATTTAGACTTCTGTACTGAGTGTCCCAAGCTCTTTCTCTTTTTTCTTTTTTTTTTTTTTTTAAGAGAGAATGCATTTAAACCTCTTGTTTAAATCAGTGAGTTCTGAATGCAGAATGCAGCATGGCTTTACTTAGGGTGCTGTGTAAGCAATCTACTAAGCTCAATTTGGGGTATGCCCCTCCTCCGAAAACTTCCAGTTGTTAGATCAGCTCAGGTCCCTGGTGAAATCTCGAGCCAGGGTAAGGGGAACTAGGACCTGAGCTTGCCATCCTCCCTTCTCACAACTTCAGCAGAGCCCAGCTAGGAAACATGGGGATCACATGGAAAAGTGTCTAGAGGCCTCAAGAAAAAATGCAAGCATTGAGAAAATCAGTCATGACCAAGGAGCAGATAAAAGGATACATCTTCTGGAGTACATAAGACACATAGCAAAAACAACAGTTTCATCATAAAATGATCACATCATTTATACAACAATTAAGACTGTCAGAGTTCAATGGCATTTCTTTTTCACCGGTAAATGCAACAGCCAGAGAAGTGAGAAGTGATAAATCCAATACAGCCTCATTCCCACAGCACTCGATATTCCCTCCAAAACCCAAACCTCCCCACTGCAACAGTGGGTGCCTGTTGGAAAGGCCCCCTCAGGATGCCATGGAAGGGTTGAAAGCCCTGGATTAAATAACAAGGGTTGTGATCTCCACAAGACACCAAGCTGGAGGCTGTTGTGTGTTCAAAGAAAGGCACAGGGGACTGTTTTTCCCAAAGAGGGGGAAAACAAGCGCAATACAACTGTGATTTCACAGAACTTGTGCTTTAGTTGCTTGGCAGTGCAGGCCACGAGTAGATTATTCAACTGAGGTCTTGTTTCAAGAGAATATAAAAGGGGCTTTTATTGGGTAAAACATCAGGACAGACCTTTTTCCCTTCTGTGCTTTTTGAACAAGGTATCCACTAGCTTTCATGGTACTTGGATCAGGCTCCAAGGGTGGTTGGACCACCCTTCTCAAGGATATACTGGGGCTGCTCCTTCCCAGCAACCCATAACCACCCATGTGTTTTCCAGGCCTGTTTTACATCATCAGCCATAATGGAGAATGTTTTCATACACATGGAATTAATCATTTTGCATTTAATCCTGCTAATTATTTACACATCTTATGGTAGGGACAGCCCCAGGAGAATTACACACTTCACAACGAGTTTGCTTTGCTACCTCGACCGATGGCAAAAAGCCCATCTGACACAAAACCAGCCGGCTTATGAAGTCTGGTCTTTCAAAGAGAAGGAAGAAAACGGCAATATTGACATTTGCAAATTATGGATTTACCACCTGACTCTGTTAGGGACTTTTCTAGCTTGGAGAATACAAATGGGAACTCCGAGCCCCTCTGAACTAAACAGCAGCACAAACACCCAATTTCTCCTGCCTTCCTTGTCAGCTGAGACAGCAAGTGCTTCTGGCAGAAACCGTCTCTTACTATCTGCTCAGCATCACTGGAAGCCTGAAAAACTGTGACTGTCACCCAAACTCTGGGCTGTATCCACGCCTCCCACTTACCAGCCACCACCTGTAGCTGTCTTCTGGGATCAAGGCATTTTGTGAGGTCAAGAAGGGTTGCATAGTAGAATTAAATCTCTGATCGAACCAGAGGGAATGTCCCATCTCCGAAATGCACGTGTGACAGCTGCAAGGTCTCGTGGGGTACTTGAAGAATTTTTGCACTTGCTCTGAAAACTGCACGACGAGGTGTCTGGGATCCCAGGTAGTCGTGGTCACCTGGTGTGTGTAGTTGAGCAGAAACGACGTTACCGTGATGAGCAAAAAGGCGAATGTAAACATTTTCACATTTCTCCTCCTTACGCCAACCATCTTTCCCACGCGGGTTCTGCCACCAACGCTGACCAAGTACAATGTAGGGTCCAGTGTAAGGCAAAAAGGAAAGGGTGCAGCAGGCACTGGTCAGTTACCACCCCGGGCTTAGGCTGAACAGGCTGACTCCAATACCTTCATCCATAAGGGAAGAAGCTTCATCTTTCCCAAATGGGCTTAAAAAAGGCAAAGCTGAGTATTTCCTTTCACCTTCTCAGAGTGCTTCCAAGTTCCTTCCACCTCTCTGTGTCCTGCTGCTAGCCTCTCCTGATGAGAGTTTAATGGAGACAGACCCTTGTCTTTCCGTGTACCAGAATTTTTAAAGGGAAGCAATATCAGCATTAAAATTCAGGTTTTGAGCGTGAGGGTAACCCACACATTAAAACAGGTAAATTGTAGAAAGAAGAGGGTGGTTATTCTTTTTCTTGGAAATTAGTTCTTGAGGGATTGGATCATCTGGGGATGTACATCCCATCAGAGAGACATGCTTTGATGTCCATTTAAGCCACGGAGAGCAGTTTGCAACCTAGAGACACACAAACAGAAAAAAAAAAAAAGAAAAATAATTTTCAGGTTGTTTTTTTCGCATTCCTCCCAACCCATTTTCTCTGCTTTTCTCTGTCCATCCTGAAACTTCTGATAAGCTCAGAGACCTGAACACAGCAGCAGTAGCTTCCAGCTCTGCTGCAGTATTTGCATACTGAGAAGTTTCAGGGTGAAATTTCGGAAAGGGCAGAGCATCGACCTGTGGACATTGAGTCTCTTTGTATTGAATCAGCCTCCTTGCTCTGCTCTGGCCTTATTTGAATTACAGTTTGTAGCTATTTGAATGGCAATGACTCACCACCTTCCTTCAGGATGACCTTGATAGCCACAAGATATGCAGCAAAGTATTCATAACTGAGAGCAGCTGAAGAAAAAGCACCCAGCAAAGGAGGGAGGAGCAGGATAGGGAGAAAGATGAATTACTTCCTTTCTCTTGCTCCCCCCACCCAGCTTAATTTCTTAAGGATAGGAACTGGACTTGTGATTCAGAGAAAGCCAAGCAAGAACAGCCATCATGTCCTGGGACAGAGAGGGGAAATCTAAGTATAAAATAGCCTTTGTTTCACATGGGTTATTGCTGTTTTTCCTGCCAAGGAAGGGTAGGTGAGGGCAGCCTGTGGTCTCAGAGAGTTCCTATGAGACCCCAGGAGAGAGGTAGAGAGGCATGAAACTGCTTTGGGGATAGAGAGGAACCCTGAGCTGCTCTCCCTTCCCCTCTTGGTGGCCTGGGCCTGGCAGCAGTGATTTAAACAAGATTTTAAAAGTCAAAAAATTATCCCTTCTTCCCACATTGCCGTTGTTTTATGGAAAGAAAAACATGTTACTTTTAAAACTCTGGAAATTTCTTCATGATGTCCCAAAAGTGCCATTGTTTAAATAACACTCTGTTGTTGTTTTTGTTGTTTTGTTGTTTGGGGTGTTTTTTTTTTAAGTTAGGAAAAAAAAAAAAAACACAGAGAAGCAATTGTGTCAGGATATGTCCAATTTATGAATAAGCAAAAGTCCAGTGAGAGAAGTCTCATTCACTGCTAAGCTGCAGGCTTCCAGCCAACAAACAAAGAGCAAAACTGCAACTTTTACCATTAAACCCCAGTATTTTAACCCATTCTGTGTGCCACATTGATGCAGGATCCCCCTCATTGCATCACTCAAATGTGATGCTTATCCAGACATGGGGCAAGAGCAGCTGGTAGCCACAGCATCCCCAGCTTTGCTGCTGGCTCCTCTCCTGGGGATCTGAGAGGAGCTGCCCCAGGCCAAACTGCTTTTCCAAAGAGTTTGACAGGGCATCTTAGAAACAGCATAGACTTGGATTTTAGAGGTAGTATATAAATATTTACCAAGTCCCAGATCCGAAGACAGGAGCCTCAGACCGTGATCTTGAGCCTTTGCTCCCGGTTTCTCCCTGCACGTGATGGGCAGCAGGTGCCCTTCAATTAGTTGCTGTTTGCCAAATGCCTCAAGATTAAGTCTGGCCCCTCCAACTGCATTTATAGGAGCTCAAGGGCTGACAAGTGGGTCAGGCTGGATAACAAAAGGCTTTATTAACCCTGTCTGCTCATGCTCCTTCCATGGTAAATCACACAGCACCAGAAAACCATCAGGCGCTTGTTTTAGTGTTTTAGAGGGAAGTATTTGGACTAACCAGGAGTTTTCTGAACTATTCCCAGGTAAAATTCAGGAATTGCATCCTGAGAGGTGATGGGGATGCTGTCACTGTGACTTGGAGATTTAGAAAGGGAGCTTGGGAGAACAGCCCCCATGCACAGCCCCATCCACGCCAGCTGGTCTCTGTGCCACAGAGTAGCCCCAAACACATTTGCTTTACTAGCCTGGATATAGTTGTTAGTCTAAACAATAACACAACCTCTAACACCTCCCAAAACATGCCGAATCCCAGAAGTAAATTATTTCTCCATTTATGGAGTGGATAATTCAAGAGCTGTGATGCTGGGGAGTCGAACCCCCACTGCTGTCCACGCTAGGCAAAGTCAGTATTTGTAAACACAACTCCTGCTCTTCTGTTATATTTTTAAGAGGAGTAGGGAGGGGGGTTATCCAGCCTTTCTTGGAAAAGCCTGTGGAATGGAGTATTGTTCATAAAACAGTTCTGGCCTCCAAAACAAGCTCTTATTTCACCAGAATAATTTATTTAATTTTTGTAACTCAGCGAAGGTTAAAGTTATATTTACAATTTGGGAAAGAAAAAGAAAAAAAGAACCAAACCAGTGTTTACACAGTGGACTGCTATGTCTTCAAACTCTTAATCATCCTGTCTTTTATAACATGTGATGGGAATGTGAGAAACCAGAACTCTGAAGGCCTTTTTCTCATGTGGATATAAACACCCCATGCTCTATTTTAATTCTTGTTACTTAGTTTCCTATGAATGTTCACATTTCCTATGGATACTCGTGATAGAAAATATAACCCCACAGAAAGGCTCAGGGGACTGCATATGTGATTTAGGGCCTGAGGAAAAGGAAGACTGAAATGAAGGGAACCAGCCGTAGGACAAGAGGGCATGATCTTGAGCTCTGCCAGGGAAGGTTTAGGTTGGATATTAGGAAGAAGTTCTTTACGGAGAGAGTGATCAGGCATTGGAATGGGCTGCCCAGGGAGGTGGTGGATTCACCATCCCTGGAGGTTTTTAAGATGAGACTGGATGTGTCCTTAGTGCCATGGTCTGGTAAGCACAGTGGTGTTGGATCAAGGGTTAGACTTGATGATCTCTGAGGTATTTTCCACCCTGGTTGATTCTATGACTCTGTGAATGGAAAATGCTTCCTTTTTCAAGTTCACTGTGACTTGAACCAGGACTTTTTTCCTTTCTTACAACACACATAAGATCCAACCCAGACATCACTACTTGTACTCTTCACAGTATCTTGCTCCATATCTCTGACTGTCCCTGAATCTCCCTCTGCTCACAATCGACTCATAAATCTTTGCAAAGGGTTTCCAAAGGATTCACTAAGGTGTTGGGACATGAGAAGGGTGGGGACTAGTCTGCGAAACCATTCAGGGCTGCCAACTCCAGCTGTTCTGGGGGATGTTCTACCTCTGGATACTACAGGTGGTAGTTACATTAAGCCGTTAGCATGATACCAAACAAGGCCCTTATCAACACACCTTGGCATGACCTTGGCATTAGCACACCTGTGCACAAGTTATTTTGGCCTCAGAGACCCAGAAAAAAATCCTAGAGACTTCAGGCACAGAGATTTATGCCCAGCCCTCTCCCAGCTACAGTCCCTTGAGAGATAAATAGAGCTTAATACTGCATGCCTGTGGCTGTGCCTGTGGGCAGAGATCCCAGCTTAGCTCATGCAAGCAGCAGGTTAAGCTACCTTAAGTGATTGGGTGCTTAAGGTCTTATTTCTGGTCTGGATTTTGCCTGCTACCTTCCCCCTCCTCCCCCTTCCGAGGTATCCTGTTGTCCCCACGTAAGACACCTTTGTACACCCTGGGATAACTTATTTATGCTGGTAACATGCAGTGATGGGCAATGAAGGCAAAATGTGAAAGGTTACATTCCAGGAAGAGCAGAGGGAGGCAGGTTCAGAAGAGGGGGCAGGCTCCTCCAAGCTCTGTCACAAGCGTAGAAGTGGGTCCATTGTGATTAAATGGTCACAAATGAGTGCAGAGCTTAATCTTTTGTCTACATTTTATGTTGTAAAATATACCAGGGTCAATCCATTGCTATTGTTTGCCTTCACTCTCTTCTCATGTTTTAGAGAGAAGGAACAGAAAGAACTTTTTTTCCCCTCTGTCAATTTTTTTTTCCCTCCAAGGTAGATTTTATTTGCATTGTAAACTTACAGTCTGAAGAATGTCCCTGGTCCCTTGCCAATCTGGCAATTAACAGACAAAGATAAAAACACATCGGTTCAATGGACTAATATAAAGCAATTCTTAACACCTTCAGGAAATATTTTTTTACAAATCCACCTACAAATAAGATGTATTCCCACTGCACTTGTCAGGTTCTGTGACAAAAGCTCATCTGCACACCCACAGAGGAGCACAAAAAGAAAACAGCAGTATGGGGAGCCTAAATAAAACCCTGCTCCAGCTTTTACCAGGTCCATGCCAGGGGCCATCAACAAATAAAAGTGCACCAGTCCAAAGGAGCCCAGGGGCAAAGGCAGGTGGGAACCTGAAATAAGGACTCAGAAGAAAGGACACCCTGCCTGGGTGTCTCCCAGGGCTGGCCCTGCACAGCCTCAGCCTCAGGTGTGAAACTCACCCAGGTGAGTCAGTGCTGCCTTTGGGATTGAGATGTGTTGTTGCCTCGGGGCATGGAACACCTTACAGGGTGCAGGGGAAGGGCATTTGGGGATTATGTAAGATCTGCGTGGTCAGCCACAAAGTATTAGCACAATGGTTACTTTTTTTGCTTTCTTTGAAAAGGTGGACCTTAAACAGAAAGAATGTAGAAATTAATAATGAAAAAAACACTGAGAAAAAAATCACCATGCTGCTACTCATCCCCCCACATTGTAAATGTCCTAGTACACTGGTGTTTGACTACTTTTGATGCCCATTTTCCTAGAAAAAAAGTGCTCTGTACCAGCACCATGTTGAGGAGATCTTTGTTAACTTGTGTTACATGCTGATGGTTCAGGATCCAGCTTTTCTGGTCTGTGACTCACATTAAGACATTGGTGTGAAACGCACTCTCTACTTTGAGGTTGCCAGCATTTTCCAGACACAGCTTGTGAGGCAGAACAGCACAAAGGTAATAGAGAGCAGCATCCCTGTACAGAGATACTGCCAGCGTTCCATTCACAGCTTGAATTGTTCAAAGGTGCCAGTGCTTTAGACCCAAAACTCCCATACCCACCTGCTCTGCTGGAATCTGGGATAGGGCAGCGTGACCTCCTGCAGCAATCTCATGATTGATGGTGGTCATCACAGAACCCTTCTACATCCCACAGTATTTTACAGCTGGAAACTCTATACTTCAAGGATCAAGTTCAAGGTTTGCTGCAGTTTGACTTCTAGAAACTGTGCTGAGCTAGAAAGGTCTCGGTGGCAGAACTGCAAGTGCCCATTTTCAGAAGCACAGCTCAGGTTCCTGCCCTGTAAATCCTTCAGAGATGAATTAGCTTCTCAGCTGAGCCACTGACAGCTATATTGTTATAAACCCTTTTGGCAACACCAACAG